GCCCGGAGGTGCTCCGCTGCCGGGGTTTGGACCAAAAGGGTGATTTCAATACCCGACGTGGGGGGTTGACATCTTGCATTTACTTCGCGGGTTAGAAGTTACCTATGTGTAGGTTCATAAGCTAATAGGGGAAGTGAATCAATTGTGTAGAGGGACGGATCTAGAAACAAATTGGTAGAAATATCAATGGTCAAGTATACGATCTATATCTCCAAGACCATGTCTATGTTGGATTTTCAAAACACCGTCGGAGGAGCCCCCGTCGTGACATGGGGGTTCCACGATAGCGGGGATCTCCAATGATCTTTTTGATTTTCTGGACCTTTCAGATTTCTCCTTTCTTTTCATTCTCAAACTTGCTAATCTCCAATTTGCTTCATTCCCCTCCCTTCGTCTTGATATACTCCTGTAGAACTATAGAACTCACCAAATGTGAGCAACCCTGCTGACATCATTTGGCGCATCTAACATTTGCAGAAACAACATGGCACCACAATCAGCTCTTCTCATTGGAGAAATTACGCATGCGCGCAAGGAGTGGGAGAGCATCTCATCTCTTTTGACATTGAAGGTAAGAGATCCCTATTGCTCCGCGATCGAATCCCGCTAATACAGACAAATCAGGAATTTCCCAGCGGAACCAGAGAGGAGTTCATTGCAAACTGCAAAGCTGGCAAGTACGACGATGTAGTCGCTCTCTACCGATCCAACAACTCCACCAAGGTAAGCATTGATTGCTCCCACACTTCGAGCTATCCTACTTACAGCGTATAGTACACCGGTCCGTTCAATGCAGAGATGCTCGCAGTCCTGCCTGAATCTCTGAAGTACATCTGCCATAACGGCGCGGGATACGATAACATTGATGTCGCTGCCTGCACAGAGAAGAACATCGCTGTGTCCAGCACCCCAGTCGCTGTCAACAATGCGACAGCCGACGTGGGTATTTTCCTCATGATCGGCGCTTTGCGCCAGGCCCATGTACCTATTACTGCTCTCCGGGAAGGTAAGTGGCTCTAACCTAGAGCCGGAACGATCTCCTCCTCAGTAACCAGTAACTAACAATGATCCCAATGATAGGAAAGTGGCAAGGCCCAATCACCGCAGGAGGGAAGGAGTACAAGACCACCCTGGGCCACGATCCCAAGAACAAGGTCCTCGGAATTCTGGGTATGGGAGGTATCGGACGGGTATGTAGCACAGATAGTGGTCCACCAGACCCCAGCTGACCATGAGCAGGAAATGGCAATCCGCGCCAAGGCCTTCGGAATGAAGATTCAGTACCACAACCGATCTCGTCTACCAGCTGATCTGGAAGTTAGCGCGACATACGTCTCGTTTGATGAGTTACTTGCCAGTTCGGACGTGCTCAGCTTGAACTTGGCCTTGAACGCCTCTACGCGCCACATTATTGGTGCGACCGAGTTCGCCAAGATGAAGGATGGTGTCGTGATTGTGAACACGGCTCGTGGTGCGCTGATTGATGAGAAGGCGTTGGTTGCGGCGCTTGACTCTGGCAAGGTACGTAATGCTGCGCGTTGAACTTGTACCTTCCAGGGATGGGTATGCGGAGAATATTGGCTGACTGGTGGATGTTCTATAGGTGCGTTCTGCTGGTTTGGATGTGTATGAGTGTGAGCCGCAAATTGAGCCTGGGCTAATCAGCAACCCTAATGTGATGTTGCTGCCGCATATTGGTACTGGAACCTATGAGACTCAAAAGGAGATGGAGATTCTGGTGCTGGATAACCTGCGGTCGGCTGTTGAAAAGGGTGAGCTTATTACACAGGTGCCAGAGCAGAAGAAATAGGGAAAATTAATCAAATGTACAAATAAGTTTACGGAAGAGAATTTGCCTCGTTCAATCATTAAGAATCAAGTTTGCATCAAGTCTAGCTTCCAAAGGCAATGTCTGCCTTGGTTGATTGTAACAAGATGGACACCTGAGATGTGGAGCAGGAAGCTAGTGACTAAGATCTGACATAACTCATTGAGAAAACCTTCCAAAAACGGCTAGCGTTAGGGCTCGCTTAGGGCCAGAGCGCCAAGAGCGAAAAAAACCGCACCAAATCTAGTGGCTCAAGCGAGAGCCGGACGACGACGAAAAGCGACAACAACTCATCACCGAGGACCATCACACCCCCCTCGCCAACTCCTTCAAGATGGTGAGTGCTGCGTGTTCCTGTCATCGATAATGACCATTCCGAATCCCGTTCTTTACGAAATGCCACCTGTGTGATGCACATTCAATGTCCGATCGCCGGGTCGACTTTCGCTGTCACAATCACCAACATTCAACGACGATCCCATTGCTAACGAGCGATGCTTTTCACAGGTCCGTTACGCCGCCCAGGAGATCTCGGAGGCCAAGAGCGCCCGCGCGCGCGGCTCTTACCTCCGTGTCAGCTTCAAGAACACCCGTGAGACCGCCCAGGCCGTCAACGGCATGAAGCTGTCCAAGGCCCTTGCTTTCCTCGAGAACGTTACCAACAAGACCATGGCCGTTCCCATGCGCCGTTACGCTGGCTCCACCGGTCGCACTGCCCAGGGTGAGTCGCCCTTTTAAATTTTAAGAAAATTTTGGAAGGATCGGAGGAACGGATTGTGGGAAGAAGAACAGCATCGCCAAATGATACGACAGCCACTGGGAAATGCAGCAAATTGATGAGGAAAACAAGAACGGAATGAGAGGATGGATATCTTGGCTTATTTGCGATGCTGTGGATCTACAATCTGGAAGAAGATTTTGAACGGAGTCGAACATCGACTGACAATTTTTGGTTCATAGGCAAGCAGTTCGGTGTCTCCAAGGCCCGCTGGCCCGTCAAGTCTGCTGAGCACATCATCGATCTGCTCAAGAACGCTGAGGCCAACGCCGATGGCAAGGGTCTCGACACCAGCGCCTTGATCATCAAGCGCATCCAGGTCAACCAGGCTCCCAAGGGTCGCCGCCGCACTTACCGTGCTCACGGTCGTGTACGTTTTCCCCAGGATTGACGGTTTAGTCTGTCTCCAGAAAGCTGACCTTTCTTTTCAGATCAACCCCTACATGACCAACCCCTGCCACATCGAGCTCATCCTCACCGAGGCTGCCGAGGAGGTCAAGAAGGCCAGCACCGACAAGCAGGTCCGCCTCTCTTCCCGCCAGCGTGGTACTCAGATCCGCCGTGCTCTCATTGAGGCATAAACGGATCGCCATAAGAAGGTGTGAGGGGACGTGATGTGAAAAGATTTTTGCGGTGGACGGGAAGGATCGGAGTTCTGTGCATCAGTTACGTATGTTGGAACGGAATCGATACCGGATCATACAAGATTTTAAGGTCATGGCGCCAACACTCGGAGGAGAACCCAATAAAAAGTTTAAACGATATGGCCCCAGGGTGATGGAAATAGGATTCTGTACTTCCCGATCCAATCATGATACAAACGTGGTTCTTTCTCCGTGACTCTATCGAGTGTTTTCTCTTTTGATAGAGAGTGTTTCTCCGTTTCTGTCTTGTCTAGCACATCTCTGTCGAGGTTCGGATCTTTCAGTCATATAATGTGATTTCATTTTTTTTTGGTTACATCTGCATCCCATCCTGCAACGATGAATGAACCTCTAACACACATCTCTTGGAACGAGTTCTTTTCTTACGTAAACTTCGCATGGGGACGTGTCGGCGGAATGGAACCTCAAGGACACCCTGCTCTTGCCACTTTTGGTCCCGACAATCCTTAGCTAGAATCACGCCAAGGGCAACATCGATATAAATACTCCGTACAAGCAGGGATCTACACACGGGGATACAGGTACACGGTCCATAATAAATAACACGTTCAAGATACCCCCATCACCCAAGGTTACCTCTCTCTATATATGTACACACCTACCCAAACCAAAATGACCAACCTCTCGGACTACCGTTTACTATGCTTCGACATATACGGCACTCCAATTGATTGGGGAAGCGGCATCATCTCCGCGTTAGCACCAATCCTCTCCAAAAGCACGACTCAATTCACCCGCGATTCTTCCAACAACCTACGGCCTCAAAAGCGCCCAACAAACCGCAACCCGGACTTTCCATACTTAGACTATCAGCAATTCACCCCACTCCTGCCACGCGATTAGGCCTCAACCCCCCAACCGACGAGGAAAGCCGCGAATTCGGCATCTACATCAGGACATGACCAAGCTTTCCCAGACACTCTCGACGCCCTGCACCGACTTTCAAAATACTACAAGCTGGTGGTGTTAAAGAAAGTGGACCGGGTCTCCTTTGGTAAGTCTAAAGCCGGTCGCCTATAGGGCGCGACCTTTTTAAATGATTCTTATCGCGTAGTATGTTATAAGCCTAACCCATATCACTTTGCGTATATGTTGAGTGCCATGTAACATGGGTGTGGGGTGGGGCCTAGATAGGGTTATCTAGACAGCGTAGAGCTAATTTAATGATCACCAACTCAACCTACGAGAAAGATTAGCATACGATTCGTCTTGACTCTATATAGCCTGAGAGTTCCAAGGCTTTCATGGGGAATACAGGGCATCCGGTCTTTAATTAGTGGTTTGAGACTTTGGGGCATCTGGCTGATGCTGTTGAAGGAGAGTAGTGGGGGTGGTAGTTCGATAAGGATTTAAAGAAGTGCATAGTGACAAGTACCTGGTACTTACAAATACAGGGACCATGAGTAATGGAGTTGTGTACCATGTACCCTCACACGTGGCTGAGTCACCAAGAATACTAATTCCCTGGAGCCTGGTCTTCAGCTTGGCATTGCAGAACACCTGGAGGCGTGCGTGGAATGTGGCTTTGACCGCTGGAGATATTGACTTGATATATATCTCTCATTGTTCCATTCTCTTGACTCCTTAGCGAGGGCACCCATTGCCAGTTCCCTGCAGACTGGTAGTCCGGCAGTCATCCCCCGGCTAAAATCATTCTCTGGCAATCTGAAATTTTCTTCGTTCTTTCAATCTTTCCTCAAAAAAAAAAACAAGAGACTGGGTAATTACCATGAAGCGCTTCCTGGGTTCTCTGAGCGGGCGCTCAAGTGAGTGTCTCGCCGTCTCCACGTCTCCCCGCAAATTCGCTGACTTGTACCCGAACATAGGCTCCAGCGACAGTGTCGAACATCGTGAAGACTCACCAGAGGCCACTGTGCTGAAAGAACTGGTTTGTGCTGATCCCAGAAAGATTGGATAAGGTAGACTGACAACTTTTCCAGACTGCCTTCTGCGAATCAAATGCAAATGAGAATGTGAATGGCTCTTCGCGCGACGCGGTAGGTGCCTCGGAGATGACAAGAAACAACCCTTTTTCAAGACTGACCACCTCATTCACACCACTGCAGCAAGGAGCCGAAGTCGTCCACCTTCCCAAAATCGTTGAAGCCGCCGAGTCAAGCCCCAATGCCGCCAAGGAAGCGGCTCTGCGCATTCGGAAGTACTTTTCCGATTCTGCTGCCACCTCGAACCAAACCCAGTACAATGCGATCATGCTCATGCGCATTCTGGCTGATAACCCAGGCCACACTTTCACGCGCAACTTTGATGCCAAATTCGTGACGACCGTCAAAGAGCTGCTTCGCACAGGACGCGACTGGCACGTGCAGAGCTATCTCCGCCAGTATCTGGATACCCTCGAGCAACAGCGCGCATGGGACGAGGATCTGAAACTACTGCTGCAGATGTGGGCGAAGGAGAAGACGAAAGCCTCGCACGGGTTGGTGAGCATATCCAACATCTCTCTGCGTGTCGCCCAAGACTCTAACCTAACCAGACCGACCGTTTCCCAATGAATCCCACAGTCCCGCCGCAAGCCCCGCCGCAAGTCCCGCCTAGGTTTCACGGTCACCAGCAACAGCCATATAGACCGTCCCACCTACCGGCAAATACCCTCCCCAACGCAGAGGAACTAGCAGCCCGCATCGAGGAAGCGCGCAATTCGGCGAAACTACTAACGCAATTTGTCCAGTCTACGCCCCCAGTAGAGCTGGAAGACAACGATCTCATCAAGGAGTTCGTTGACCGCTGCGGGAGCGCTTCGCGTTTAATTCAAGGATACATCCACATGAACAACCCGGCTCCGGACGAGGACACCCTTTTGACACTCATTGAGACGAACGACGAGATCTCCGTCGCGCTGTCGCAGCAGCAGCGTGCCATGCTAAAGGCACGCAAGATCACAGGATCTTTATCGCCGACCACGTCTCATATGGATAGCTCCTCGCCGTCACAGGCTGTCGCACCAGCCGCTGCGAATCTCTCTCCGCCCCTCGTGGCCCCAGCTCAGGCCGAAACAGGGAGACCCGAGTCCCCTGCATTCGTCGCGGCACAACTGCCTTCTCCGATCATGACTGGCGGCCGTCCACTTGGTTCCTACCCCGTGTCGGGATCGGCGACTACCGGTCGGTATGAATATAACTCTGAGGATTTCCACGTGCGGAATCCTTTCGCTGATGATCATGATACGAACGATTTGGGTGAGCGGGATCGGGCGCATGGCAATTCGCAGCCTTAGATTGATCGAGTGCGCTTCCAGCCCACTGAGCAGGAGCGCTAGCGTCATGCAGGGATCGATTAGTGATCACCGATAGCACGTATTGTTCTTATAGCCTAGCGCCTGGATTCTTTTTTTTTGGGGGGTCGGTTTCAATTCTGATTGTGGTTTTGTTTATCTTTGTAAGCGTATAGTTTTTGCCTTTTTTTGGGTTTCTTTTGGTTCTTTTTTACCCTTTGCCCTCTATGATACCTCGCACATTATCACTTCACATATACTCATTGGTTTTTTTTTTTAAACGACTGCCTTCGGCATGTTTGAACTCTAGGACAGCAAGGGCACCATCGTTTCGTACACTAGGTACAATTTCCTTTCCAGTAATTACATACATGCAAGTTATGTACCCTCTGTGGTCTAGTATCCCTTTAGAACGTACAAGGTCTATATCACAAGAAAAGATTGAATTAATTGATAGCAACTGACAGCAGCTATGAACGAGGGGCTCAACCGAGGCTGGCTGCTTCCATGCATAATTAGAAATGTCATCCTGTAACCTATTACATTTACCTGAATAAAATCTTACCATTCTTCACTCAATCTTGATAGCAGTCCTCTCATTAGCCTGATTCCTCGCCACAATTTCCTCGGGGAAAGGCTTCCTCGCCCACACACGTCGCCTGCCAAAATGTCAACCCAACCCACACCACATTCCGGAGAAAGAAAGGAGGGAAACACATACGCGCGCTCATAAATATGATACCTCGGATTCTTAAGCTCCGCCCTCAACTTCGCCACATAAACAATCACCTCATCCCTAGACCAAGGTTGCGGCGCCCCGAATTTACATAGCAACCACATCGCCCAGCCCTCCATACCGGACGTCCAATGATGGTGGTTAACCGTGCCGGCCTCTTTAAATTTCTGATCACGGGGCCAGGGGCCAATGGGCCACTTGTAGTCTTTTACACAGATGTCCACGAAGCCGGCCTTACGGAACGCATCTTGCATCATGTCGATTGTTTCTAGCGGGCGGCCGGCACGCTGACCGCAGGCGGATAGGGCTGGGCCCCAGCTGCGAAGGATGTTATCTTCTGGAAGACTGCCGTCGTCGCATTCGATGTAGGGGCTTGCTTCTAATTGTTCGATCCAGCCGCCAGGGCGGATGTTGCTGGTTGGGCTTGGTTAGCTGGGAAAGGGAAGAGGAAGGTGGTGGCTTACTCGTAGCATTGCTGGTAGACGCGTGCCCATTCCACGTCGTCGAAGGATCCGATCATGATGCGCATGTGAATTAGGTCTTGAGGTTCGTCCCAGGTCCAGTCTTGGGCGATGTTGTCGACTTCCAGGATGCAGTTTGGGGGCATCCACGTTACTGGTGGGGGGAAGAGATCGACTCCGCGGACGGTGGCTGGCTATTTGGTTAATGTTTTGATAGGGGCCAATTGGATTGAGATTCTGGACTTACCGGTTGGGAACATGTCGGCTACATCACTGGAAGAGAGTGAGTGGTGGTACTTTGTGAAGATGAGAGCGATATTTTCTTTCCACATACATGGCCCAGTTACCCAGACCGGTTCCAAGATCAAGGATGTTTTTAGGATCCTTCACCGGCGCTCGGAAAAGAGGGTTGTCATATTCTGAGTCCATGACGAGAGCTACCAAGTGGCTACAATAGTTAGTTATCAGTTGACCGGAAGACCTTTTAAGAGGATTGCCCATACCCAGCTTCGTATGTCTCGAATTGCTTCTCATCCGATGGGACCCTGATAGGACGTAAGTAGGCAATACCCCAACTCGGAAACCACTGCGTACAGATATTCCTTCTGGCTCAACGTTTGATACCGTCGGCCATTCTCCTCTAGCCCCCGATAAAGCGAGGAGCCGATCGAAGTGGTTTCCCTAAGATTGTGAGCTATATTTCCATCTCGGACAAAGAGAAAATACATACGATTGCCAGTCATCGCCGTAAACGGTCGTGATATGGGTCGTGGGATCCTGAAATGTGTCAGCCAAATCAGCTTCAAACAAAGAAAAAGAAGAATTGAGGAAACGTACCACGGCAATATTATCCTCGGGCTCAGTATGTATTCCATCCATTGTAGAAACCGTTCGGAAGCGTTTTGTTTTTTTTTTTTTTTTTGGTAAAAAAAAAAGTAAACAAAAAGCGAAGTGGGAGATCAAAGTCAAGAGTAAAGAGTCCGAACCATGTTCGACTAGGGTTTGGATTGGATGGAAAGGCATCGGACCATATGGCACCCCGCTCTTGTCCTGTCAAAAGCCATATTAGGGAACCACTTGTTAAACAACCCATGTTATATATAGGCTTAAGACGTAGGCTTTTGATATGTGGGATTGTGGAGTGGAAACCTCTGTTAGTTTGAGGGCTTCGGATTGGACGTCATTTGGGTAATTGCATGTGAAATCCCAAAAGTACCATTTCTTACCAATAGGATGTGTCTGTACCAAGTGCATTCTTCACAGCAATTCTGCAGAAAGTCCCTGCCTGGTTAAATCTCACTTCCTTCTCCAACATGACATCTTCATGCATATTGACAGGACAATTCGAGAAACATCACAATTAAAAGTCAACATCTATTCTTACAGGGTTGAAGTTGTCTCGCATTTACTAAGCTACGACAGATGGCCTAAGCTTTTGGCGGAGCATTAATTAATGATCCGTAGCTTTAAATATCCGACACGAGACATACAAAGCAGCTTGCAACATTTAGGTTAGTTCTGATTCGAACGAGCAAATGCACACTATAATACACTTGGGTTCCCTAAAGAACTCCGGGTACACGGGGATCGCTGGCTCTCGAATGACGTCATCGCCTCAACTAGATCACTCGAGAACAGAACACGATTAACCCATTCCTCATTTCAAGCAAAATATCGACAAGTTCCAACCCTGTCAACCCCGTGCCCTCCAAAATGCACAGCCTTATCCAAGAAATCGCCTCCTCCAAAGCCCTTCACCTTCACAACCACACCCCTCCCAACCCCAAATCATGATCATGCACAGGGAGAGCACTTAATCCAAATCAAGGCCTGTAGTCCCTACACGGGCGAACTACTCTGGCCAAAGGATTTCCCTCCATCAAAAGCCCACACTCTAATTCCATGCCTGGACATGGCAGAAATCGTTCTCCCATGCACCGGAAGACTCACCCTTCCAACCAGGCGATGAAATGTACGCACGCACAAACTATATCCGACCAGGAAATGCGCGCGAGCATTCCATGGCTGTAACAGACCAGCTAGCACCCGAACCTAAGGGTCGGAGCTGGGTGCAGGCTGCTGCGGTGCCTGTCTCAGCGCAGACGGCTTGGCAAGGTCTTTTTTCGTTCATGCTCTTGCTAGCGCGGGAAATGGAGCGGAGATGGATCTGGAGGCTGCCAAGGTTGCTTGGGTTGGAAGGAGAGTTCTTGTTACTGCTGCTTCTGGTAGTGTGGGTATTTGGCTTTGTGCAGTTGGTTACTCTACTTGGTGCGGAGGTAGTTGGGACGTGTGGTGCTCGGACTGTGGAGCTTGTCAGATCGCTTGGTGCGAAGGAGGGGCTTAACTACCCAGGCACAGATTTGAAGGAGTAGGCTGCACACCTTCTCAATAAGTTCGGTGTTGTTGTTGATTGTGTTAGGGGAGATTTCTAAGTTGATTGAGAAGGGAATGCGTCGGGATTTGGTAAATAGTGTCTGGCCTCTTGAGCAGTCCGAGGAGGTATTCAAGAGACTGGATGGAGACTGGATGGAGAGCATACGACGGGAAAGATTATTTTCGATCTGTCACCAAACCGTTTAGAGCTGAGCGATGATGTTCATCTAGCAACATTCGAGACTTGATAAATCAGTTCTGGAAGTATGGTGCTGAGTGGATACGTCCCATGTCGTTCAAGTGAAACGTATCCGAGCAACCAACAATCCTTAAAAAGAGAAGAATTGTAATTTCCTAATTGTGCTAGAGATATGATCCATTGCTTCATCGGTGTCTGGATGCCTCACAATGAAGCTGCTGGTTTCACTTTTTGTTGTCTCGTTTCCCATCGCATCCTAATTCGACCACGCGCGTTGTTAATGATACGGCGGTCAAAATCGATTTTTCGGCAGTCTTAAGAGTAAGAGACCTCCTAAAGGCTTAAGAGCTGAGTGGGTACAGAGGTAGGAAGTGTACATGAGGCTCTATGAAATATTTGATCTAAGAAGCACTCTACTTTCATGGTCAGCAATGGGTATTCTCGAAAGGCCGATGCCACTAGTTCAAAGCTTTACTGATCATAATAGCTAACCTTAAGCGAGTAAAGCTGAAGTTGCTCGCTCTCCGGAAGAATTGTGTGTAAATGATCCTTTGCATGTATGAATGTTTCATGTTGGGAGGTCAGCCGAAGACGAAGCAACAAAATGAAAAGTTTTCTAGAAGACCTTTGGATGAAACCCTTGATAGCTCAAATAAGACTTCCATACCTATGTCAGTTTCATAAAATTTGGGTTGATTTGCAAAGCACCGATTGGGCCACCAAAGATTTGGGTTCATCCTGGAATAAAATTGGAAAATCGCCCCAGCACCACTACCAGGTCATAAGTTTATTTTACGATCTACACGTTCTAAATCAAAGTATAGCGCTATCAACTCCATGTCTCAGTCAGCCCCCTTCTTGGCAGGTCCCATCAACGTGAAACTCGGTATCCCTGTTCGGCGCGTGAAGGCTTGGCAACCCTAGCCCCAGAAACGGCCTCATCTCGATTAAGAAGATCGCCCAGCCTAGTTCAATATGCACCGGTGGACATATTGTTCCGAGATGACGTGTACTACAACATAGATTTACCGGTGTTCTCTCCCGGGGGAAGGGGGGGGGGGGAGCGCTGTCCCTTGGGCATATCCGATGTGTTTCAGTGTGATACGTGCATTCAGCCCTTCTCACGGTTCTAGATTTTTGACAAGTCTCAAGTGACTGTTTGTAGTTGATTAATGTCGTATGCAGTTCACTAGAGCTCATTTTGAATTCGTCTACTATATAAGCAGCGGCACACCAGCGCGACATAAGACCGGTTGAGCATGCAGATCAGTCTTTTTTGAACTTTCATTCACTTTCCATTCATTTCCTCCGGTTTGATACCGTGCAGACTTTCATTCAACAACTATACTATACATTCATTCATCGGTCCGGTTTACCGATCAATTCCATTCACTTCTCCCGATATTTCAACTCGTTCAACATGAAGAACTTCACCCCCGCTCTGGCTTTCGCCAGCGTTATTTCCTTTGTCAACGCCCATGGCTTTGTGACCAGCCCGGCAGCCCGACAGCCCGGTCTCGCCATGGGAGCCGCCTGTGGCCAGCAAGTCCTGTCCAATCAAGCCGCCGACAAGTACGGGAACATCCAAGGCGAGCTACAAGTTGCCGCCACCCAGGACGACTATAACGCCGCTGAGTGTGACATCTGGCTTTGCAAAGGCTACAAGTTCGACGACAACAAGGACAATGTCCACTCGTACAAAGCTGGAGAGACGGTCGACTTCCAAGTCGATATCCGCGCACCCCACACCGGTGTCGCTAACGTCTCCATCGTCAGCACTGCTTTCAACAAAGTTATTGGTACCCCGCTGATCTACTGGGATGTCTATGCATCCACCGCCACCGGCGTCAAGCCCAACCAGACCAGCTTCAGTATCACTATCCCTGAAGATATTGGAAGCCAGTGTGCCACCGCCAATGACTGTGTGCTGCAGTGGTACTGGTACGCAGAGTCCATCGACCAGACGTACGAGTCATGTGTCGATTTCACTGTGAGTGAATTTAGCTCGACTCCGGCTGCGCCGTCCAAGGCCGTGTCTGCGTCTAGCTCAGCTCTCGTTACTGCTACATCGTCCAAGGCCGTGTCGGAATCTAGCTCGGCTTCAGTTGCATCGTCGAAGGCCTGGTCGTCGAAGGCCCTGTCGAAAGCGTCGTCGACCCCCAGCGCTACGGAGATCGCTGTTACTACCGTCCCATCTGGCGCCGTTCGAACTCCCACTACAGCTGCTGTCAAGTCCACTACTCCCGCCACCAAGGTTTCTGCTCGGCCTACCACTTTCGCCACCACTGCCCGTCGATCGGCTACTTCGGCTGCGGCACACGTTCATACCGCCAGCGCTGAGCCGTCCACCAGCGCATCGGCTGTGCCTTTCCCCACTGACAGTGCTTCCGACGTCTTGGCTTGGATTGAGGCAATGTTGGGCAACTTGGTGGGCAACTAAATTCGGAAAGCGTGAAGAATGGCCCACTGAAAAGTTGGCGGCACCATGTCGGAAGCACATCATGTTCAATTTGGGTTAACCTGTTCCCCCTACGCTTAGCTAGTAGTTAGATAGTTAGATACATCGGTATTTCAATGTCAGACTCACCATGCTCCACTCATCGTCGCTGTTGATGACGATATCGGAGAGATCACCGAACATCCGACATCGCCACTTCCTGGATGTACCTCATTAAACACCACGTCGACATAAAACCAAGCATTCCCTATACAATTTTGAGATCTTCCAGTATTTAAAAATCACGAAAAACTATGCACGGTTGCCTGAATAGAACAACAACCCGGCTATTCACCCACTGTCCAAGAATTCCAACCCCAAGACCATTCCATAGATCCCTCACTACAACAATGTCGCAACCAGCCAAAGACTGGAGCGCCAGCCAGTACCTCAAATTTGAAAACGAACGCACCCAGCCAGCCCGCGATCTCCTATCGCACGTGCCCCTCACAGCGCCAAAGAGAATAATCGACCTAGGCTGCGGCCCAGCGAACTCAACAACAGTGCTCGCAACCCAATACCCATCAGCCACAATCACTGGTCTAGACTCATCCCCGGACATGATCAACTGCGCAAAGAAAGTCCTTCCAGACCGGGACTTCCACGTCGCAGACCTGTCCATCTATACGCCCGACCCAGCCGAGCCCGTCGACCTCTTCTTCTCGAACGCGGTGTTCCAGTGGCTCAAAGCCGACGACCGCATTGCGGTTATCAAACGACTGCTGCAGCCGCAGGAAAAGGGCGCTGTTTTTGCGCTCCAGGTTCCGCATAACCTGAACGAGCCGTCGCATCTTCTTATGCGGGAGACGGCGGCGGAAGGTCCGTGGGCGGAGAAACTGGCTGGTGTGCAAAGAGATGGATTCCAATCGCCACAGGAACTTTATGATCTGGTCAAGCCGTTTTGTAGTCAGGTTCAGGTTTTTGAGACGAGTTATTATCATGCCCTGGAGAATCATGAGGCGGTTGTTGAGTGGGTTCAGGGGACGGGGTTGAGGCCGTTTGTGGATCCGTTGGACGATGCGGAGGAGGAGGCTTTCTTGAAGGATTATTTGAGGCGATTGCGGGATGCTTATCCGGTTTCTGTTGATGGGAGGGTTTTGTTGAAGTATCCGCGGTTGTTTATGGTTGCTGTGAAATGATTTGGTTGGCAGTCTACTTGTGTATGTCCCAGCATTTTGTTCCTGGTACTGTTTTTAAAAAAAAAAATTTCTATAAGATATTATAGAGCTGAGGGATTTGCCCCAGGCTTGGAAGTATTCATGCGACCCAGATCCAGAGATGAAAAAAACCATCAAACTGATGAATCGATCGAAAAGGTGAGATGCATAAATTCATGTCCAGGTTTGCTATTCAGCAAATAGTCTAGATAGAGTAGAGTATCATTTATCAAGGATAGCTTAAACTGTTCCCGAGGCAGCAATCTTGATGGTACCATCAGTCTTTCCAGACCGATCTAAGCTCTTGCTCTCCATCTTCTGGATTATGTCCTGACCGGAAACAACCTCTCCGAAAACAACGTGTTTACCATCCAAATGGGGAGTTTTCACAAACTGATCCTAGTTAGCACAACGCGTTCCCAATCCTGTTTCAGCATAGCCTCGGCTTACAGTAATGAAGAACTGGGAACCATTGGTGTTCGGTCCGGCATTTGCCATAGAGAGCAACCCACCCTTGGTATGCTTGACCTGGAAGTTCTCATCGGCAAACTTCTCACCGTAGATTGACTTGCCGCCCGTGCCCTAAAGAGAAAGTACGAATCAGCCGGAGCTCGGCATTCCTCGTGGAGGTACCACGACCGACATTTCCGCTAGTAAAGTCACCACCCTGAGCCATGAACCCAGAAATCACACGTTGAAAAGCAGAGCCCGCATATCCAAAGCCTGTTTCGCCTGTGGCGAGGGCGCGGAAGTTGGTCGCGGTCTTGGGGACGACGTCGTCATAAAGTTTGAACTCGATGCGACCCCAATTTTCCACTGCATGGTGTTAGTGTCACTGTGTTGAGATGGGGGAGTTCACTTACCCTGGCCGCCAGCCGAAGTGTATTCGATATCAAAGTAGGGGTTAGACATGATGAATTCGATGATTTGAGGAAGTTCCAAGACGGATGGGCTGGGCTGGAAAGGGGTGGGGTATTAAAGGAGGGGCTCGGATCTGGGGTCCTGCAGGAATGAGGTCATCTTAGGGTTAGATTGTACAAGTTGGACGCACATAGGACAAGGATTGATATCTGATTGGTATCTTGCAGGGTTCGGATCTAACGGTCAACCCCGATTGTACAACCCTAACTTCAATATCATCTTGAATAGTTCGGATATTGGTTTGCCGCTCAGAAGTAAGCAAAATTTCTCTGACTGAAAAGAACATAACAAGGATTTGTTGAAGTTCGTCTCATTGTATTGAGTCGTGTCAAAGAAAAGAATCTCAGACCGTCACAGGCATTCCCAGAAAGCTACCGCCACGAGAACAAGACTTAGGGCCATATATTAGAGTGCACCCAAGAACAGTGAATGAGCAATTACAAAAAGAATCCAGAGAACCAAGTAGCAAAAATCAGAAAGGGTGGCCCATCAGAACTCATCTAGAGCCTGTCCACCCAGATCCCGGTCTCTCTACTCAGAGTCATTGGATGCGGCGACCAGGTCACCGTCACTGTCCTCGTCGACGTCCTTGTCAGAGTCATTGGCGGTAGCGGCCGAAACTATCTTCTCCATTTTGATATTAAGACGGGACCACTGCTTCTGAACAGTGTTAACCGACTTGCCAGCATCTGTGGCAATGGCAGACCAATCGATCTATAAGAGAGCTCAGTCAGTAAATGTTATGTTATCATGTGTTTGATCAGACAAGGAAAGCACATCTGAGAGACACCTACCTTCATGCCGCTGGACATTTTGACACACTTCCACAGGAACACAAGCTCTTTGTCGGCAGCAGTGGACGAGGTTTTCGCAGGGGAGACCTTGACAGGGGTCCGTTTTAAAATACCTGCTTTGACTGGCTTGATAGCTTTCTTGGGGGTGGTTGGTTCTTTAGCCATGTTGATCACGAAGATTTTCAGCTTTGAATTGGGCATGAATGGGTTTGCAAACAGAGATGAGATGAGATGAACCAGATATCTGATAGATCGGTTGGGGAAGGAAAGAAGAGAGAGGAAGACGAACGGAAAGGGTTGACCCTTTAATAGTGGGAGCTACTGCGTTGCGTTGGGGGTACAGTTGCTCTGACGAAATCGGTAGCAAACATCAACGACTTATAGAGACACGAGATCTAGTCAAGTCACGGTTTCACATTCCGGCAGAGATCAAGCCGCATCTGCCAGTAACCCATGTCGAACTAGGAAGATAGACCCCCAAGGCCCGAAACAGGAACCGAGGGTTTTGTTTTGTTTCTCACCCCCCATTCGATTCAATTCCGAAGAACCACATTATCCGAGTTATCATGAGAGCCAGGGAACATCTATTTCAGCATCTTTATCAGACCTTGTTCAAGGGCCATTAGATCTTCAATGATGATAGCCCAAGGACCTGCAACAGGGTAGGGGTGTATATGTCAAACGCCCTGCCAAGAAGCTAAGGTGGGGCGATCTTCGTGATAATATAAGCACTGCCGCGATTTTCCCAGGTTGGAATTTATCTCTCCCCTTGCATGAAAGGATTCATTCATCTCTTCCATTCCCCTCCCCATTGATCTAGTTTATAATGGAGGACCATTTGCGTCACAGTCTCTCCAACCACCCTCATGCCTTCCAGAGCTTGCATCTTACTCATAGCAGCTCACCGTCACACCGGACCGACAGGATGGCTCCACTTTCTATCAACGAGGGGACCACAACCGCCCTTGAGCACGAGCTCACCACTGTGCAGCAACATCGCAGTGGTAGTTCCAGCGACGAAGAAGGTCAACCTCCGCCACGTTACACCCCTGAAAGCGATCCATTCCAGCTTGCCTCGAAGCTAAAGACCGAGGATGAGATCCGACAGATAAAAGCCAACACATCGCGGAAACGGGACTCCACTGCAAATAAAAGCCGGAAAGTGGGTTCCATCGTGAAACACACTGCGCGTCTTGGACAGCAGGCTTTCATCACCAAGAAGCTGCAGGGATTCTACGAGTCCCAAAATGAAAACATCGAGCGCATGCTGAAGCCTGTCGAGGAGCACCGACGTGCTGCCCGCGAATTGAGCGTCGACAATCGTCTTAAGTACCGGATCGCAGTTTACGGTAGTTTTGCCGCGAACCTACTTCTCTCGGCTATCCAGATTTACGGTGCCGTGTCATCCGGGTCGCTCTCTCTTTTCACCACAATGGCTGACGCTGTCTTCGACCCCATGTCCAATCTGACCCTCCTGCTATGCAATAAGGCAGTCAACCGCGTTGATCCACGCAAGTTCCCGGCTGGAAAGGCCCGAATTGAAACCGCTGGCAATATTTGCTTCTGCTTCCTCATGACCGCCGTCTCTTTCATCATTATCGCCTTCTCTATTCGCGAACTGGTGTCGGGATCCCAGGAAGAAACCGACTCTTTCCACTTACCTTCCATCCTTGCCGTCGCCGTCGCCTTCGCCACTAAATTCGCCCTCTTCTTGTACTGCTGGGCCCTGCGCAACCAGGTCTCGCAGATCCGCATTCTGTGGGAGGATCACCGTAACGATCTGTTCATCAACGGGTTCGGTATCCTGACCTCCGTCGGCGGCAGTAAGCTGCGTTGGTGGATCGATCCTATGGGTGCTATCATTCTGTCCGTGCTGGTCAGTGCGCTGTGGCTACACTCTGCCTATGGCGAGTTCCAATTACTCGTCGGCGTTACTGCCGATACCAAGATGCAGCAGCTCATCACTTATATCTGTATGTTCACTTCTTTCGGTTTTTCGGTGCTCTTGGTAAAAAACATTCACTAACATTGCCTATCAGCCATGACCCACTCCCCCGCCATCACTGCCATCGATACCGTCCGTGCATACACCTCTGGCCCTCGCCTGCTCGTCGAGGTGGATGTGGTCATGGACGCAGAGGCATCCCTGCGTGCCACTCATGATGTCGCCGAAGAGCTCCAGATCAAGCTTGAGTCACTCCCCGATGTTGAGCGTGCCTTTGTACATGTTGACTACGAGACCACCCACAAGCCTGAACATTCTCTGAAAAAGGAGCTCTAGACTTTTTGCTCGACTCCATTTGGACTTGCTTTTTTTCCATTTAGGATACCTTGGCCTCTTATTTATGATGATTTGTGCCAGGATTCTGGAACTGGAACTGGAGATGGAGGGATGGGGATTAGTCCCAAGATTCTACAAGGAATCATACCAGCCAGAATAGGCGTAGGAATTCTGATTCTTTGGTTTTATCCGAGTCCTACATGAAGTTTGCATTTCCTTTCACAAGCATCTCTGCCTTGACCTTCTTCAACTCTCGCCATAAGAATCATTCGATGTTCACTTGAACTCATCCCTCAATTTTTTTGGGATTTCTCACTTCTCCGTCATATTCAAGTTCTCGTCGCCATTTTGTGAATCCTTCACATTCACGACCCTTAAGCCATTCTGTGGCAAGAATACTTCTCACTTTTCTTCCTCCCTACTCGAATCACTTTCCGCTTATCCTCTCTACGGCACTCAGTCAAGTCACCACACTATGGGATCCCTTCAGTGTGACCCCACCTCGCCCACCTCTGCGACCTCACCAGCATCTCCGACATTTCCATCCGAAATTCCCACAAGGGTCAACTCCAAAAGGATAGCCCTTCCTGCTCTAAAATCCGCCCCGGAAAGGGGCAGTTAAAGCTAGAGGGAAACAGTACTCATATATCACGGCCTTCATTTGTCACTGGGACGACGACAATACTCTTGCTCGAGAAGGCGGAGAAATTCTTGCCCATATGATGGCTGACATTTTCGGAGTTACAAGCCAGACATATGTAATGAAGAACAATTATCCTACTCCAGGCTAGGATCTGAGAGAACGTCTTCGCCAAGAAGGTTGTGTCCAAACGCCGCATCGCCTAACCAACCCTCTTCGTCTCCTTTTATTCCGGCCATGGCACAAGCAATAACCTGAATGAACTTTCCTTTGCCGCGACCAAGAAGGAAAAGCTTGTTCCATGGCGGACTATCGAGGGCGAATTGATCTACCCCATATCTCCTATGGATACCTTTTGCGTTCTTGATTGTTGGGTTTCCGGTACTGCTATTGCAAGTAACCCGAGGACAACTCATATCCTAGTCGCTTGTGGCTCTTCACCATTTGCGCGGTCCCGTGGAAAATGGAACAACCTTTCTACAGCGAGTTACCCGGGGTGTCTTGCTCCGAATGACCTGGGAGGCGTATGCTCGGATCCTATCGACTGTAGAACCAGAGCCACTGCTCCCAGTGATCCGAGCCTCCCTTATTCGAACATAGGAACTCCGGGAAGTTCCTATCTTACCAACTCGAGAAAAATATGCCGTTCCGACATCGGCTCCCGAACAAAACATGAACTATGATTTCCTTCCCTTGTCCCCCCTTGTCCCTGTCTTACTTTTCTACGTTTTTGCTATTTGTTTTTTTTTTATACTTCCCAGCGCTTGATTTCAGCCGTGTATTACTTGATTATAGTCAGGAGACTTTGGGTAATAGAATTATTTAACATAGAGAGTCACCTCAATTGTCCCAAGGCTTTTCAGATTAGCCTATACTATGCACATTTATCGAATTAACCGTGGAAGAACGCAGAAAAGGATGAAAGAGTAGCCGCACTTGCTGGCACCGACACGGGGATCTACCTGGCCCGGCGCGAGGGACAGAGAAGCAGGCTAGCATTTTTGACGGGTAAGAGGAAGCTACAGGGATGTATTCTTTTGGCGTTGTGTCTAACCACATATATATCACAGAAAGGAAGAAAAAAGTCTATTGATGATCCCATGAAAAAAGAATCAACAGGATCCAGTGGTATCAAGCGACCTTAGAAGTGTGAATCCGGCATCCGAACAATCTAAGGAAACGATTGCCTGGAGTGAGCATAAGGATAGGGAGATGGGGGAAGAGAGGGACATTGCATCTCGCACAAAGGTGGGGAAAAGTACAAAAGATAGAAATGGTATTGTTTACAACAATGGACGGAAATGAAAATGAGGATAAGGATAGAGCTCCAGAAGAGAGGAATGATCTAAGCAGACTGTTCAAAGAGAGCGATAGTAGAGCAGAAGTTGCTCTTGTTCGGCTTCTGCGGGACGAGAGACCGACCACTGGACGAGGTAACCATGTTCACAGCAGCCTTCGTGCTGAGACCATACAGCTTGACATCCGAACAGTCGACCTCGACCATGTTCTCCTGGCAGTCCTCTGAGTTGAGACAAGACTGGGCGTAGTTCTCGAAAAAACTGTAGAGACCGGCACCATAGACGAAGACGTCCGAAGAGCTGAGAACACGCAGACCCCAGGACTTGCGGCAAGAGTTGGTCTTGCAATTCGCAAAGTCAGGGTCATTCCAGGAATTTTGTGGGGTGAAGGGGGTCAGCGAGGTCGGGTTGGACTGGTAGTATGGAGTCTCGGATTGGATAAGGCCCATGAAGACGTTCTTAGCACTCGAGACCTGGTAGTTGTACAGCTGGTGGTGCTCCGAGGAGGTACCCCACAGCCAAACGGGATTTTGGGACTCGATGAGTACACCACGGCCGGTGTAGACGTTGATCTGGTTGTGATCCTTGAGGTCAAGCTCGTGATCGGCGGTCCAGAACCAGTTGTTCTCGAGATAAGCACTACCAGTCTTGGTAATGTGCAGGAGCATGAAGGCGGCCATACAATCCATGTTAGGGGTCGTCTTTTCCTTGGGGGTCTTGGGGCAAGTGTCACTCTGCAGCTTGGTACCAGCGGCGCCACCGATGCGGAAGTGGACATCCCACATACCGGCAGAGCCTTGGGAAGCGCCGGCAACGTTCCACTCCATCAGGATAGCCCCCGGGGCTGGGCCCTTGGTAGTGATAATGAGGTCGCTCATTTCGACAGAGCCGGTGTCACCCTTTTGGCCGACTTGGAAGACAGGGACGGGGTTCTCTTGGTCCGCGAAATTCTCGCCGTGGGCCATAAGCATGGGCCAGATCTCACCAGTGATCTTAATGTCCTTGGGAACCTTGATGGTGGAGGTGATGACATAGGCACCATGATCAAAGTAGATGACCTGGCCATCCTTGTAGCTGTCAAAGATCTTCTGAATAGCCTCGGTGTCGTCAGTGGTTCCGTCACCCTTGGCGCCAGCAGACTTGACGCTAACGAAGGAGGAGGCTGCGACATCCTCGTACAAAGGCTTGGAGCGCTCAAAGATGGCGGCCCCTTTGAGCAGGCTGGCGGGCTTGGGAGCAGTCTTCAGAGCGCTCTGCGTGCGGGCAGAGGAAACAGCAGCTACGGCACCACAATTGGCCGTTCTGCTATCGCTGCTGGACTGGGGGACCTGGCTAACTTGAGAGCCACTGCTAGAAGTTTGAGTAGGCGGAGCAGCGAAGGTGACAGACACAGAAGGTTGCTGAACCGAGACAACACTGGAGGGCCAAGACCCTACAGGCACCGCGGAAGTGACAGGGGCCTCGGTGGAAGGAGCAGCTACGGGAGTAGGCTCGGGGACATCAAAAGCCTCTGAAGTGCTTACTCCGAGAAGAGACAAGACACTGTTCAGTGCGGGAATGGAAGGAGGGTTAATAAGGCGATCCGTATCGCTGCCGGCACCAGCACCCGGTGCGGGCGAAGGAGAGGGGGCGGATCCGAGCGATGCAGTTCTTGCAGGGGCAGGAACATCACTGCCAGCAAGGGTGGCGCTGGGAAGGCCATAGGAAGCGGGACATGCAAGAATGGTCTCCGTAACAGTCTCAACGACGATAACCAGTTCAGGCTCAGCCTGGCTGGCGCGCTTGTTGACCGTTTTGGACGGGGTGTAGGTGTTACCCTGAACCCAGTTTTCGACGACTGATCCACCAGCCAGGATGGTCTCGCCATCAACACCAGCCACAGCAACTTTGGAGCCAGAGAAGTCCACGTTATCCAAAATCAAGTCACCACCGCCAACGGGGATGCTCTTCTGGGTCCAAGCAGTGACGATACCAATGGGGGTGTTGGTGAGCTTGCTGTCCAGCATCAAGACGGAGCCAACAGTCTGATTAGCAGGAGAGGTAGACATATTCAGCCCGACCTCGCAGTTGTTGATCCTGACTGACTTAAAAGTCCAGGCCCAGTTCCAGTTCATAAAGATGGCAGTCTGCACGTCGTTGAAGACCAAATTACGAGTAGTGAACTGTTGGTTACCCAGGAACATTCCGTAGTTACCACCGTTGAAAGTCAAGTCAGACATAAAACCACCAGATCCGTTGTCCATGAAGACACCCTGCTGCTTGTTGGCTTCACCACCACCCTTAACCATCTCGAAACGAATGTTCTGCAAGCTAGTGGCCTGGCCGACCTGCCAATGAATACCGGCACCGGAGCCAGCGGGGACGCTGGTCAAATCAATGACCAAGTTGCGAATGGCGCGGAAGAAGTTGTTCTGATTGGTGAACCAATTGTCGCCGTTATCCTCGTAGGGATCAGAGTCAATCACAGCCATGCCGGCGAACTTGGCGGAGGCCTTGATGATAGGCAAATCGACAGCATCACCGACGATCTGGGTGTAGTAGTACTGGACAATGGGCTTTGAGACAACATAGGTACCAGGCGGGAAGTATACAATAGCAGGAGTGGTGGTGGAGGAATCACAGCCTTTACCACAACGGCCTCCAGAAGAAATCGCCTCGTTGATAGCCACGGTGTCGTCAGTGGAGCCATCACCTATGATCTAGTCAGCATAATGCCCAACGGAAAGATGTGTGGATAATTGACTGACCCTTGGCGCCATAGTCCTTCACATTTCGGAAAATCTTATAGTCTGGACTCTTGGCAAAGGGCACAATACCCTGGCGCTCAACATTGGCGACCCAGTAGCTCGAGGCGGATCTCTTTTCAGTAGCAACCAACACGTTATTAACCGGAGAGATGGGAACGGCGACTGGCGCAGCTGCGACCAAAGAGGCTGGCAATCCGAGTAAAAGGATGATGTGAGCGATAAAGATCGCGAGGGATGTCTGTAAAACGGCCATGTTGACAATGGAGAACGCTGGACCAGCAGCGAAGTATGAAAAAAAATGGAGAATTCTAAAGAATGAAGATAATTCAGCAACCAGCGCTGTAAAGATTGGAATAAGAATCGAGTTCAACGCTTGACCAGCAGCGATATGCAGAAAGAGAGTAAAAGAAGATTTAAAGAGTCAACCTCCAGATGCACAGTTCCTTCCCCAAAAGGAGCGAAGACAAAGGGAGGGTGTCAAAGAAATGAATCGAAGAGAAGAGAATGAACGAGAGAAGAAAAAAAAGACAACAATACAGAAATAGGACACACTAGAGAGTCATCATACCTATAAATCGAAGCGTTTACAACCTTCCACCTTTCAGCCAATCAAGAAGCACTGGGGCCCTCACGTCCACCACACCCCACCAATCACAATCCCACAATTGGCGACAACGTTGGACTTGAAACACGACAGCCTGAAGTTGAAACGCCGAAACTCTTGCAGGTTCATTCGGCGAAATAGCGCCGTCAGTTGTTTCGAAGTGCAACTTAGGAGGCACCTTGAACGGTACGGGGTATATCCAACTCCAATGAACAAACAGCCTGCTAAATGAAATAAAAGAGTACTCAGGGTCTACGCGCTATATAACTAGATCCATAACTCAAACAGGGTATGCCAGATTATCCATTCCAATCATCTGAGATGCAGGTTCTGCTCACAGGGGGAACAGGATGAGCATTGCACGTTGTCGCGTATCACTGTGCCCTTGAACCGAGTGGATCCCCCTGTATAATAGTTTGTCTGCGGTAATTCAATAGTGCTAGTGATGGTAGTTTCCACCGGTGATTGGATTTGGAAAATATCGCTGGTTCATTCCGGTTGCTTCATATCGCACGTTCGTGTCTATGTTGGATGTCTGAATCTAGGAAATGTACACATGTAACACGGATGAGACTCGACGCCTCGAGTCAAAGGTGAATATCCCCCGCGTGTTGGCAGGGGGCGTTCATCAGGTATGGATGAACATTCCGGGGTGGAAGGATTCCTGATGACGGAGAACAAAAAAAAAGCAAAAAGACACAACAGGACGAGGCCACGACATCTGGAATTCCCAAAAGGTCAACTCTAAGGGTTGGCATTTGGTGAAAGAGAGAGAGAGAGAGAGAGAGAGAGAGAGAACGGAAAGTA